CTGGGCACCCTGTCAATCTTAATGTTAGGCCTCCAAACCAAGATGTTACTGGAAAAAGGAAACGCAGGGACTCGGAATCCGTCGACTTAATTTGGCGATCTTCCTCCAAATAATTCGAAAAAAGCATAAGGTTCTTTTCCCCTAATTCCAACTTTCATTGGTCTTGTAGTTCTGTGAATCTATTTCTAAATTTATATGTTTTTAAGTTGTGAATAAATAATAATATGGTTTGTGACTTTTTAGTTTTTTGATTTAGGTTTATAGAGATGGATGGAGTGGTTGCTGCGCCTTTTTGCTTATTCTGAAGGACTTCTAGCTTTTGAGGATGGACTCTAGTTTTTTTTTTTTTTTTTTGTTATTTTGTAGTAAACTGTGTAGCTTTTGATTTCTAACTTTTTATATGGATGTTTATATATTCTATTCTTAAGAAATTATAAGGAAAAAAAAAACCTCGAATGGGAAGGTTATGGTCCATATCAACCATCAAGCCAAAGCCAACTCGCACCTTTGGCTTAATTATCAAAGTGTCGTTGCATTAGATTTTATTATTGTTAGGATTTTATTAGTTGGCCTGCCTTGAAAATTGATTGTACAAAATTTAAAAACAGATGTCGGTGTGCGCATCGAACTGCGATATTAATTCTTGGTGTCTTTTATGTTTCTGCACTATTATTCTCTGTTTTACTTTTCTGCAAATTTATCTATTGGTTTCTGAATTCAATGTCGGTGTGTGCACCGAACTGCGATATCAATTCTTGGTGTCTTTTATGTTTCTGCACTATTATTCTCTGTTTTACTTTTCTGCAAATTTATCTATTGGTTTCTGAATTCAATGTCGGTGTGTGCACCGAACTGCGATATCAATTCTTGGTGTCTTTTATGTTTCTGCACTATTATTCTCTGTTTTACTTTTCTGCAAATTTATCTATTGGTTTCTGAATTCAATGTCGGTGTGTGCACCGAACTGCGATATCAATTCTTGGTGTCTTTTATGTTTCTGCACTATTATTCTCTGTTTTACTTTTCTGCAAATTTATCTATTGGTTTCTGAATTCAATGTCGGTGTGTGCACCGAACTGCGATATCAATTCTTGGTGTCTTTTATGTTTCTGCACTATTATTCTCTGTTTTACTTTTCTGCAAATTTATCTATTGGTTTCTGAATTCAATGTCGGTGTGTGCACCGAACTGCGATATCAATTCTTGGTGTCTTTTATGTTTCTGCACTATTATTCTCTGTTTTACTTTTCTGCAAATTTATCTATTGGTTTCTGAATTCAATGTCGGTGTGTGCACCGAACTGCGATATCAATTCTTGGTGTCTTTTATGTTTCTGCACTATTATTCTCTGTTTTACTTTTCTGCAAATTTATCTATTGGTTTCTGAATTCAATGTCGGTGTGTGCACCGAACTGCGATATCAATTCTTGGTGTCTTTTATGTTTCTGCACTATTATTCTCTGTTTTACTTTTCTGCAAATTTATCTATTGGTTTCTGAATTCAATGTCGGTGTGTGCACCGAACTGCGATATCAATTCTTGGTGTCTTTTATGTTTCTGCACTATTATTCTCTGTTTTACTTTTCTGCAAATTTATCTATTGGTTTCTGAATTCAATGTCGGTGTGTGCACCGAACTGCGATATCAATTCTTGGTGTCTTTTATGTTTCTGCACTATTATTCTCTGTTTTACTTTTCTGCAAATTTATCTATTGGTTTCTGAATTCAATGTCGGTGTGTGCACCGAACTGCGATATCAATTCTTGGTGTCTTTTATGTTTCTGCACTATTATTCTCTGTTTTACTTTTCTGCAAATTTATCTATTGGTTTCTGAATTCAATGTCGGTGTGTGCACCGAACTGCGATATCAATTCTTGGTGTCTTTTATGTTTCTATCTTTAAATGTAACCTTAGTTGATTTTTCTACATCCGCGTTATAATTTCTTTATCTGTTAAAAGTTTTTCACACTTTTTTAAAAAAAAAAAGGTGTTTGCTGGTTTTCTAGCAGTAACCTTACACCGAGTGATGTGGTTTTTTCTTATTGAAATTTATTTGGTTTAGATTTAATTTGTACTTTAACCGTGCGGTGCAGTTTGGTTTGAGGTTTGAAATTTTCAAATCCAAAATAAATTAAGACAAAACGAGGATTTAAGACCGTTCTTAGGAAAAAAGATAAGTTGAATTTGTTTCAGAATAGCTCATGCACAAATAACTGAATATTAATAAGATGTCAAGAATCTCCCATACCATTATTTACCAATTGCAATAAGGTCTTGAAGTTTACCAATTACTTATATATTACCTATAATGTAGAAGCTTTTGTACTTTGCTTGCTTGTGTGCTTAGTTTATTTGTTTCTTTTCTTAAGAAACGACTGATGGTGAAAATTCATCAACAATAAATAAATGAATTCCGGGATGAATTAACGTGAATTGTAATGAAATAAATGCGAATTAAAGCAAATAAAAATAAGGACTCGAAAATCATAGTAGTTCACTCTCAATTTGAGAGTTACGTCTTCTACTGTAGGAAGGAAGAGAAAATTAACTAATTTGAGGAGAAAAGTACACAAGAATGTTTTGAAACTTGAGGGATTTTTGACCTATAATTCCCTTTTTATACTAACTCTGGTCGCCTCTCTTAATTTCCTTTTTCAATTTAGAGATAACTTCCTGATCTGGGATAATTTCTCAAAAGATAGAAATTACAATTAATCTATACGACTTTCCTTATTTGAAATTCATATATTTAAATTACAAATAACAATTTCCGGAGTAAATCTTACGGATCTCCTATCTTTCCGTAGCCTAAACTTCATAAGGACCTCCGGAAGGGCCAAAGCCTCATCGCCCTAGACGCAACTTGAAGCCTCACCTCCAGAAATGCTCTTTAAGCCTCTCAAAGGGTCGGCTCCTTGCTACTAAGATTGATAAGGTGGCACTAGAACTGAGTTGTCATGGGCTTTAATTGAGCTTCTCAATGCCTTTTGCACGTCTTTATTGGGTCTCTGTCTTAAACCTATAACAATTAAGATGAAAATTTGAATCTCCAGGTAATGGTGATTGTTGTCCTGCCATTTACAAAGGGAAAAAGCTCAAGAGAAGAAGAGACAGTAGAAAGAAATCAGGGAAGAAGAGAAAACAAGAGAAGAGAGAAAGCAAGCAATGAATTTCTCTAATGTCCTTTTTATAGGCATACACTTTTTTTTGTTTTCATTTTCTTTTTTAAAAAATAAATGATTTTAAAAAACTTGCAATTATCAACGAAATTTGTTGTTCACATTTAAATGGACGGAGTACTTCAATAATCAACACTTAAACCAAATGGAGGTAAAGGATTCAGAAAAAAACAATAGTTTTTGTACGATTAATTTTTAAAAATTTAAAACTACCATCTCAAAATCACGATGCTCAATATGTTGTAGGTTGAGGATTTTACTTGAAAAACACAAACTGGCCCCCTGTATTAAATTGTCAATGGCACCTTCAAATTCACCCTGAAATACATGTACATATAAGTGTCTAGTGTTTTTCAAAAGAAGAAAAAGTAATGAACAATGCAAAATATAATCACCAAATTGCAACCCACACAATGGTAGCAACACTGGACTTAATAATCTTATAAGAATGGAGGGTTTAAGTGTTGGAGGATACAAAGAAATCCTAAAGATGAATAGCAAAAATAAGACCCGACTATGTTAGGGTCCCGCTAGGTGGACCCCATGGGGTTGAGGAGCTGGTTGCTCGGCCACGGGATCCGGAAGGCGGTCTAACGGAAAAAAGGAGTTGGTTGCTTGACCACGGGGTCTAAAAGGCAGTCTAACGGAAAAAGAAGGGAGTTCTGGTTTTCCATGGCGGCCAAAGGGCGGAAGAGAGAGAGAAATGGTAGTGGTAACTGGTAAATGAGTTTTTGCTGCGATTAAGAAGAGAGTGTGTTAGTGATGATAGCAGCTGGGAGGTTTTGTTTGTAACCTTAATGAACAGATCTCACACAATAAGGTATACTAACCTAATTATAATTCAAAATGAAGATTTATTTCTTGAATTTTTTTCATAAACAATAGAAACCGTCATAATTGAACAAATCTCATATAAGAAGGTATACTGTCCTTATTAAAATTCAAATGAAGATTCATTTCTTAATTTCCCTTAAAAATTATCTTTTTTTTTCTTGATTTCTTGATTTTTAATTTTCACGTGTCAAACAGTGAATGTAGAAAGTGACAGAAAATTATGCTAGCATTTCTCATATCTTAAAATATCAAATGAGATGGACTCTACTTACAATAAGAAATTATGATCTTTGATAAGGAAAATTTTCCACCTCCTACTTATAGGATCTACCTTTTACAAGTTACAACGATCAATGAAATAAAGATAAATTACGGTTCCAACATGCAAAGAGATTGCACACTAGAGAAGGACGGCTCGATAGTGAGGAAGGAGACGGCAACGAGAGCATAAGCAAACGGGGATTGGAGGCGGCGACAGAGCAATGTAAGTAGGGAGAGAGAAAACCCTAAACATTTAGGGGTATTTTAATGCTCTTTTTTTTTAACCATAAGGCAAGAAAACTGAAAATTTTCTACCTCATGACACAAATAGACCCCGAAGGGAAAACAAGAATGTGAGATAAGGGAGCGTTGATTATAGGAAATAAGGAAAACATGGATTATCCTTTCAAAAAAAGATTTATTTTTAACTGTCCAACTCTTCTTTAGATTTATCCAATCATCATAGGAGGAATGCATTGCAGTCGTCCCAAAAAAAAAAAAAAAATGTACAGTTGCATATGAACTTTTGCGTTACACATTGAGTTGGAAGTTTTGGTCGGAGAAATGTGATGTCTAAAGAACTGAGACAAATAGATAGAAACAAGTCAATTACTTGTATTTGGGTTTTCATCAACAGATACGAACACTAGAACCTCCAACGAAATGACGTGCCTTAACAAAAAAAACAAAAAACAAAAAAAAAAAAGAATGTAGTATATATACTCCACCTTTAAAAAAGTAATAATTTCGTTTTCCCTGTTTTAAAAGGAAAAGAAACAATAACGAATATGAGAGCTCAGTAATAGAGTACATATTAGACCATATACTATGTACACGCTTTTTCTCTCTCCACTATACTTTGTCTGAGAAAGCTCTCCTCTTTCCTCAGTTAATAGCTGTGAGAGGAACTCTGGAATCTCTTAATGATTGAGCGGCCTCATAAGCGCCTGCAATAACGTGTTTTAAATCCCCATTTGCCTGCTTTACTGATTTGGAGTCCCAAAATGACTTCAACAATTCCTCAAAAGACGGGGTTCTGAGTTCTTCAAGAGATGCAACGCTTGGTAGATTGAATGACCTCTTTCTTGGTGTGGAACAAGATGGTTCGTCCACCTGATTGTTTGTCAAGATGAAAAACACAGTTGTTATACCGAGAAACATGTATTGTCAAGTTGAAAAACAAAATGGTACAGGATATCCGTACAGGATTGGGCTCATATGCCCACGTCTTAACTTTTTAACTGACATAGTATGATATTTTAATTGACATTGCATTTAATTGACTTGGTATGATATTATTGGAAGGACAAAAAGGAGTAGTAAATAAGGGGACACATGAGTCGAATCTAAATGGTATGTCTCTTAATCTTAAACTATACTGATGGGATGAATACTGTTATTTGTAGATGCCTATTAATATTGCCTTCGTGCTCAATTTGTGTATTAAGCAGAGAACATAAGATAAAGATGGAAAGAAAAATGTGGGGCCGAGTATTGTCTTACCACATATTCATCCAGAAGACATTTTCCTGAGTTCTCGGTGATTTCCACAATCTTGTGGTAATGGCCACCTTTCAATTCTCTCAGATCTCCGCAACAAGGAACAATCATCGAGTTTAAGTTTCCACATGCATCATGGTCAAGTAGTAACGACTCTGCAAAAGATAAGTTTCCTCAGTTATAAATTTTGTTCCACGAGAATAAAACAAACCAACCAATCAACAAGCATGTAAAAATAGATACTGACGATCAATGGATGAAAGCATATTCCTGTTTGCAATATCTGCATCTTCAAGTGCAGCTGAAACAGCAGAGGAAAACCTTGCACGCAGGGTCTCGATGGCTTCCGTCCCACCCCTGATAGAAGAAAAATTAGCAATGAACTTTCCACTAAAACCTGTGTCAAAACTTGTGAGGAAAGCAGCAAACCTGACAATGGAATCCACGGCTGCAACATTTTTGTTTTCTAGACTGATCAAGGATTCTTGAGCATTCCTCCATTGTTGTGCACCTGTTTTTGCCTTCTTCAAACTGCACCATGTTGTTTTGGATTAAGTTCGGGCACGTTCTATAAAAAGAGAAATCACATTGCTGATGCATAACGGGAATGAAGTAGTCCTTACCAGTTATGAAGAACCTCCTCTAGGTCTTTCTTTCCCGATTCCACAGCAGAAGTATCTTCCAAGTAGTGAGATTCTGTTTCTTCCATGTGAAGAGTCCACTTGCCCTTGACGGAAGATGTGGAATCTTGCATGGTTGACATTTCTTGCTGCAGTTTGATGGTCCTACTGGTTGCACTCTCCCTAAGATCATTAACTGCCAATTGGACCTAAAGGATAGATGAATAATGTTATCGGTTATACCTTATAGCATGCTTTTCAAATGAATAAAAAAAAAATGATATACTTAACATCTTCTTGAAAGAGGAAAAGAAAAATTAAATTACCAGGCTTTTCTTCCTAGCATTTGAACTTGCCAGCAGCTCTGCCACTTTTTCCAACAATTGTCGTTCCTCATTAGCAGCACACTCCTACAGATGAATACAGAAAAATGAATCAGACTTTGTAAACGCTAGTCATGATCTTTCAGTTAACTAAAGCTTTGCAATCACCTCAAATTTCTCTTCAAATTCAGACAACTTCCTATCATTTACACTCTGTGCTTCTTCCACAATTTGGGTCAGATTGGACGCATGTGTGTCTAAAGTGTTGAAGAAGTTCACAGTAATCTTAGAAATTGAACGTGCAGTTTCCACTGCTCTGGCATGTGCCTGTATTTTATATTTCATTAAAGTTAGAAACGTTGCATAAAATGATGATGATCTCTACACCTCTTCTTTAAATTTCAATTGAAGCATGGAGATGTTGGTTTACGAACCTCACGGTGTTGTTGAGCATATGCAGAAAGCTTCTCCTCTTGCTTGTTAAGGCTACTTTCAAGATCACTAAGTAATGCATCAGCTTCTGAGGCAATTCCTTTGAATAGCTGAATCATATAAATGAAGTCAGCTACCAGAGAGAGAGAATGGAGTTTGAAATAAAGTTGGATATACTTACATCCTCTAGTGCAGAAGCATGCTTAGAGACCTCAGAATTTAGGTCAACAAAAGTTGACCAAGAATTCCCTTCAAGCTCCCCAGAAATGTCATCCAAAGCTTTAATACCAGAACCATACATAGTCTTCAACTTCCCCAGCCTGTCTCGTAGTTCTTCAGTAGCCTTTAAGCAAGCAAGAACACAAGGTTATGCAGACGTACGATCAACCTTACAAATGCGTTTTATCATCTTGTTTATAGATTTTACCTCAGCCTTTGTTGATACAAAGGACTTCATATCTTCATCCATATCTTTCAGTTGTTGCTCCTGTTGTGTCACAGAAACTGCAACAGTCTTATGCAAGATTTCAAGTTGTTGAGTTAATTGGGATCGGAACTTCTGCACAAGTAGTTTGTTCCCATCTTCAATTTTATCCTTGCGTTCTGGTAGAGGAACGACAAATAATTAGCATTTTTGGAAAGAATATCCAAGAAATTCAACTTCCAAAATACATGATACAAACCAATTTTGGCAAATAAACTCGAGACATCTGATGCAGCATTCTCTAGCTCTGTTCGAAGTTCAACCGCACGCTCAACAAGTGCTTTCTCTGAAAGTGGTAGCACCGAGAAGAAGTTAATAAAACAGTAACAAGAGTTACAAGTTACAAACATCGAAAGCATCATCTGATATTAACCAGAGGACATGCGGGATTAAGTTTTGAGGAAAATCAATTGAACTGTCAAAGGGAAATACACTATGGAATAAGTAAACACAATATGACACTTTTCTTACCAGATTTGAGGAGATTGGATATCAAAAATTCCTTCTCTTTTATTGTCACATTTGCTTGTCGATGCTTTTCTTCGAGATCAAACAACACTTGTTCAGTTTGCTCGAGTTTTTTCTGACACATACAACGGGGATGAGTCTAAAATTGTGTTTGTTGGCCTGAAACAAGAATTATTTCAATTATAAAATAGAAAATTACCTCAGTCCATTCAAGTTTTTCACTTAGTTCTGCAGTTAGAAGTTGTTGAGCACTGTAGAGTTCTTGAAGCTCCATAATTTGCTGTTCAAAAGTCATGAAATGTTATTGCCTTAACTTCCACCTTAAAAGGCCTCAAAACATCAATGACACTGAAATGTCATCTTAATTGAGAATACCTTATCTTTAGAGTCAGATTCAATTTCCATGCGCTCTATCTTTTCAGTCATTGCCTAAGATTACAAAGAAAAGAAAAGGTTAGGAGATGTTATATGACGTATGATACACTGATAAGGGAAATATTTCCTAACATAACCATAAAAGGCATTGGACCTTTTTCTCTGCTTCTTCATGAAGGTAACGATCTCGTGGTATATAGATTCCATTCTTCTCTCTTGCAGCATATACCTCTGATACAATGTAAAAAGAAGATAACGTAACATTCACAATCAGAGATTATACAAATCTTTTCTTTTCTTTTTTTTTTAAGGAAAAAAAAGGACCAGGAGAGGATGTTCAAGGAAGATAGAGCATCTTAGAAGCAATAACCTTGCTTGAGCCTGTCAATTTCGGAGTACAAATCCTTGATCAAAGCAGATTTCATCATCTTTTGGTTTATCTGAAACATAATTTTTAGCAGATCGTTAAAAAAAATGCAAGAGAAGGAATTGCACTGCCATAATGCTTAATATTCAGAATACAAGACTGCACAAAATAAGAGTGAACAAACAGACTACTGACCTCTGGCTTGTTCTTTATATTTTTGGCACGGTGGGCATAATCAAGGGTGCTGAGCGTTTCTTCTAGACAATGGATGGAGGGTGATATTGTGGCGATTATGCACGTCTTTGTCTTCCCTCCCAAGGAGTCCCTTAGCAATCTTGTTAGCTTGCTATCCCTGTTATTCCACAAGATGGGAGTTAAATGTGTTCACAGAAATTGACTGAACAGATTATATTCCATCAATTACCTATATGGAATATGACCAGAGTGTTCGACCAGTGCATTAATGACACGACCAAGAGTAAGTAAGCTTTTATTTATCTCTCCAGCTTCCCTAGCTCTGCCCTGCAAGTATATTAAAAAGGAACTTTTCAGTAATGCACGACCTTCTTAATGTAGTTCAGTGCAATGTACTATATGCATTGGAAAAAAACTTTAACCCTTTTAATCAAAATATGGCCATAATATTCTGTTAATTAGAGTGCACCCATGAACTAACACACATGCATATAACATACCTCTCTGGCACCAGAACGAGAAATGTTCTCGGAACCAGCAAGGTCGACAAGATTCAGCTTCCCACATTTGATCATTTCTTCCCCCTCTGGAGTACATTCCTTAATGTGAATTGTGACGGAAAATATTGAGTGAGAACGACTGCTTTGTTTGTTAAGAAGAGTTTCAGCTGTGCGCCTTTTTGCAGAACCTTTCTCCAATATTTTGTAGATTTCATTTGCAGTACATACTATTTCTTCTTCCAAGCCCCTAACAAAGACACCTCCCTTTCCGTCCTCCATGAGAGCGATGGGTTTTTTAGACTTGTCATCTATAAATTTTGTGGTTTCCTCAGGGGCCAAGAGATCCGTAATCTCCTCATTGTACAGCTCTAGAAAAGTCACTTTCATGCTATACTCGGCACTCTGAGCTTCTAATATGTCAAAAATTTGTTTGACAGCTCTTGGGATAACACCCGCATCACTTGGAAACTCTCCATTCTACCAGAAATAAAAAATAAAAAATAAAAAAAAATAAAAATCAATAAAAATAGATGAATCAAAAGCAAGTATTATTATGCTCTGAAGTTGCGTTATCATTTTAATCATCAAACCTTTTTTCTTGCTCCACCTTCCATCGTGTATGTTTTCCCTGTTCCTGTCTGACCATAGGCAAAAATGGTGCAATTATAGCCCTCAAGCACTTCAAACACAATATGAGACACTGCCTGGTCATATAACTCCTTTTGTTGGGATGCTGGACCGAAGACCTGAACCATTAACCACATCATCCCACTTTCTAATTATTTCCACAAATTAAAACAACAGCATATAATACGACAAAGGAAAAGAAAAAAAGAAAGTAATCTTAAAAGTCCTGAAGTTCAGATATTAATTTTCACTTTCATCCAGCAACTGTTTCATGTAAGACGTAAATACCAAAAGACATGACACAAACCTTGTCAAACGCAAAGGTCCTGTCAATTTGCTTGTTAGCTATATTCTGAATTGCAGAAACTTCCTTCCTGTTCTCATTACAAGTTACCACAACTGGGGTATGTAACCTCAACTCATCCTCACTCAGAGGCCTACAAAATGCAATCAAAATATCAATATATAGGCCTTGGTACAGAATTCAAATAAATAAATAAATGAAAAAACACAATCACCAATTGGTTTCTTCTGACTTTACCTGCAACGCACAAGAACTTGCACATTGACACCTTTGTCTTTATCATGCTTGCTCGAAGAATTCGAATCCCCAGATCGCAGATCCCGAACTGCCTTGTCGCTCGACCGCGGCGTCTGAGAAGGTGAGAGCGACACCAAACCTCCTCTTCTCTGCTGTGACTGAACGGAATCCATATCTCTATATTGCTTTGGAAGAAAACTCAGACCTTTACCAATCAGTAAAACTCAGTGAGTCAACCCAAATCAACTTATCTGGATATTAATTCAAGCTGATTTAGCAAGTAACGAAGCCCCAATTGTGTGATGAGGGGAAAAAAAAAAACAAAACAAAACAAAATGCTAGGTTGAAATTGACTTAAATCGCAAGTGGAAATGAATGCATTATTCAGATTTTTTTTCCCATTTTTTCTGCTCCGCAAGTCAAGCTGTTAATGAATCGGCAACCATAATCGAACTCACTGAGTCAACGCAACTCGTTTAACTCGACAAGAAAACAAAAATCTAGTTTTTCACGTCTCCAAGCAAAGATCAATAACTCCATAAAAGCTCAGAAATCAGAGATTTGACCAATGAAACAATGCAGGACAAAATGCATCGAGAAAACGTATAACTCAAAAATCAAAATCTTTTCTTTTCATTTTTCTTTTTTTTAAAGAAGATATATAAACAAAGAGAACAAAGCTTGATGAAATTGAATCTGAGACGGATCGAAAATGAACGATCAAAACCAAAACTTATCTGCGATTTGAAACCAAAATCAATTAGATCAGAATTAGAAACTCACGCGAAATCCAAAATGCCGGCCTTTGAACAATCTGCTTCGGCTTCAATTGCCGATAATAGAAAGAGTCTCAGAGATGGAGAGAGAGAGAGAGAGAGAGAGATTCTTGAAGCAATGGCGATGATGATTCTTAGACAGAGAAAGTCCTAGAGCTCGTTTATACCAATTTGTAATCTTTCCAAGGCTTTGATTATATATCTATCTCTGTATATATATACATACACATATATATCAGCAGAGTTAGAGAGAGAAAGAGAGCAGGAGCTGTGAGAGAGAAGCAAATGAGCAGTGTATGACTGTGAGTGTGTGTTTTAATAAATTAATCTTGGAAATTAAAAACTAATTTTTTAAAAATTAGAAGGTGTTTGGTGATCGTTTTGATAATTCCAAGGACGGCAAGGAGGTGACGGTTGGAGCGGTAACGGCGTTAAAAGAGAAAAAAAAAAAAAAAAAAAAAAAAAAAACCCCTTTGAAAAAAAAAAAAAAAAAAAAAAAAAAAAAGATCCGTTTCGATCGCAATGCCCGACCGTTATAAATCGACAAACAAAGCTTTAATTATCCTTTTTGAAAATTTTTGAAAGCCGATTCCGCTTTCAGGTCCCGTCCTTCGTTTTTCTTCATATTACAGAAATACCCCTCCCTATCTTCTGGAACTATTATTACGTGTTTTATGCAAGGATTTAATGGACTTTGCATTTTTTTTTTTTTGGCTGGAAGGTTAGGGACATAATTATTTTTGGTTAATTAATACTGCTGACATAACCTGTCTATTTATTATCTAACACAGGATTTGCTATTGATGAGAGCAGATGCTGGCCTCCATTTACGCTCCGGTGGCCATTGCTTTCTTTTTTTTTTTTTTTTTTGAGGAATCATTTGAGATAATGAGAAAATAGTTATCACGGTATAAGGTTCTATTTCTCAAATGTAAACAAATAATGTACGAATAATTAGTGGCTTTGGTCATTTAATCGTTTAAAATTTTGATTTAGAAACGAGTAAACTTAAGGTTGTTTTTTTCACAACTTAAGTTTTCAATTTAAATTGTATATGTAGAAAAAAAATATTATAATAAAAAAATTAATTTTAAATTTTTATGAGAAAAAATACTGTAACAATAAAACTTAATTAACTCTAAGTTTTCCTTAAAAAAAAAACTTGACCTAAGTTTTGTGCATAGCATATGGTTAAGCATGTTTTAAGAGGGCCAACGAAATAAACTAATGCAAATCGATACAAAAAAAGACGTGTAATACTTGCGTTATGATGTTTTTTTGTTGGATTTTATTTATTGTTATAACTATTTTGACTAAGGGATTGTAATTGTTTTACTTCATTATAAATAGATATATAAAATAAAATAATTGGTGAAGTCAGATTTTATATCTCGTCTCTCACCACACAAGTGCTCTTTGGGCAGCTAATATTGATAAGGGAACAAACATCAGGTGAATAGGTCTCGTCTTGAGCAACTGGAGGAAACGAACCTTCCAGAAGGACAACAGCCATATCACCTAAATCAAGAAAGCAAGACTAGATCTAGTTCAAGAAAGAACTTACCTAGTCGAAATAAGAGGCACACGAATAAGAAAACCCAATTGGAGCCAAATAAGTAAGGACTTGTTCTTTTTTTCGCAACTCGAGTTGAAAATTCGAGTTGTAAAGTGAATTTTATGTGAGATAAAACATCATAATAAGAAAGTTAAATTTAAATTTTTGTAAAAAAAATACTGTAGTAAAAAAATTTAAGTTGTGATTTGAGTGTTAAAAAGAATATAATTGTCTTTTTTACACTTAACAATTATACCATCTTAAAATCAGAAAACAATGATGAGAAAAATCAATCCCATGGGATATTTCTATGAAATCACATCATTATATCATTTTTTGTCAAGAACATCCTTAGATCATTAAAGACATCACTTGATCATCCTCTATGTCATCTTTTACTCTATTATTCTCTGCAAATCCCTTCTTACTCTCCCGTCTACATTCTCGAGTATTAAGTGTTCAACCCTAGTTGACATTTGGATACGAATATATATATATATATATATATATTTTT